TGTTTCAGGATATTGGGGAGGAAGGGGGGGGGGGGGGAAGCAATGGAGAATGATCATTCACGGAAGATTGTAATCTTTCAGGAAGTTTGTGGCCATTACTTTTTGAGCTTACCATCCTAAAAAAGCTTATATTTTATTTAGCTCATATTTTTGTAGATATGTTCTTTCTTTTTGATCCTGTTTTTACAAATTCAATAATTTTCGTTATTTTTTGAGTGAAAACCATTGTTTACACTTGGTTACAGTGGTAATCACTGTTGAGAAAAGGAGGGGGAGGGGGGGGGGGGGAAGAGGCGCATTCATCCTCGACCCCGCACTGCTTAGTTTTTTGATCTACTAGACCTTTCTAACTGATCAACCTCATTCACAAGGTTTTTTCCTTCATACTTCTCTACTTCTTCCATCATTCTCATCCTATCACATTGAGCTAGATTTCCTGTAGCTCGTATTACGTCTCGACTCACCAAGACGATCCAATAAACGATCATATCATACCTATAAATCCGAAGATAATAGGAAGTCATTTATCTATCAAAGTTCTTTGACATTCGGCTGAAGAAGTATTCACGGAACGGCACATGCGTTCGGAAGAATGAAGCGCGAGAATTTCCTTTTTCTATGTGGCTTCTGTAGCAAAATTGAAATTTACTGTAAAATAACGTTTCTGTAAATCTGGAACATCTTCTGAACTTAAGTTCTAATAATCTTTCATTAAACACGATAAATTATGATCCGCTTACAGATTCGTGTGGAGGCGGTTTGCGAACTTCTCTGATCTCAAGGATTTGCCTTACGAGAGAATACGAAGTACAAGGCTATAGCGCGCAAACTTAAAAATGTTATCAAATTCAGGGAAGTCCGCAACCGCGTCAACACGAATCTGAGAGTCTATGATACATATTAAATTTAAGTCAAACCGAATTTGAAATTAATGAAACCGAATCACTTTGTTTAAGGCTACGTTGAGAATTTGTTTGCGCATTTTGTGTATTTCTTCGTTAGCAAACTGTTACTTGCATACGTTGTAGCTACCGTAATCATACCGTAATATTTACATCCCGCAATTTATTGAGAGAGCTATGGGTATGAGTATTGTGGTGTCTTGATTCGAATAAGGCGAATTACAAAACAAAAATTGCAAAAGTTTTAATTTAAAACTACCCAAGTATTTGTTGAAAAAAAAAAGAAATTTCAAGATTCAGACAATTTTCTGGCTGAAGATTTGCTTTCAGCAGAGGAAAAATTTTCGTGTAGATTTTAGGCAAATGAAAAATTCCTTGTGAACTAATATTGACAGAAGTGTCCTGTTTCAACTACTGCTGAAAACTAAGCTTGAGAAGTGGGTGTTGATTTGCTCGTTGGGAACTATGAGTTCTATGAATTGCGTTATTTGGCAGCAATAATGAACAGAGTATCTAACATATAAAAAATCGTTGACTCAATTTAAATCTAACATATAAAAAATCGTTGACTCAATTTAAAAATCGGCAAATAGCGGGAAACCGCGTGGCGGTCCCGAAGTTCCAAATAGTACCTTTAGATTACTGGTTCACTAGTCGTGATAAAGAATGCAACGATGAGCAGCGTGCGGGCTCGCTACGACTTAGATTGGCCAATCACAGGCCAGATATGCGCATGAGCGACTATTGGCTATCTCACCGCTCGCGCCACCCCATTCAGCAATAATAAGGTAAAAACGAATGCGGCTTTTCTGCGAAGCACAATTCTCGAGCGTACAGAATGTCCATGATAATCCCGAATCAAGAATATGAAGCGCAATTTTAAAACAATTTTTGACATTTTCCGTAGTTGTTAAACAAATGCGTGAAACAGAGTATACCACATATAGTTTTACCTTTGCTAACTATGATCTCTCCTGCTAATCCAAATTTTTGCCAGCTGCAAAAGCGGAAGTTGTGTCTCAAAACTCTCTCGTTAGCACCACTGCTTCCACTTTCTCGACCTCTTCAGACGCACTCATACGCATTTTTGAAGTTTGCCATTCGCAACATTCACTACGCACATGTTTGTTTTTGTGGATTTTCCGCTTTGCTTAGAATCAATACTCATAATAGTGAAAATTGGTGAGAATAATATTTTGAATTTTTTTCAAGGCTATAGTTGTTGAAAAATGAGACTAGAGAATTTATTAGCGGCATTAGAGCATTTCTTATTTTAGTGAATAACAGAAAAAGTCTTTTCTCATGATTTTGGTGCTAATTGGATGTCTACAAAGCTCCTTATCCACTCCCCATTTACTTATTGGTTTTTTCGAATATGTTTTTGAATTTTGCGTTTGGTTTCAAGGCATATGTGCATTCAAAAAATATTTGCATAACCTCTAGAGAAAGGCGACAGATTTTCATTACTTCCTCAGCTCCATTTTTTACATTGGAAGGCAATTTTAATCTTATTATAAAAAACAAGTACAAATAAAAGCACAAAATATTCAAACGGAGCTATCACAATTTGTAAAATATAATAGTTGCGAATGAAATAAAATATGCAGAATTCGTTTCTGCTGTCTACAATGGCTTTTTGGAGACATACTACTCGTCTTGAATCATAGCTAAATATTCTTGTTTATATTTTTGAAAAACCATCGTAAAGATACACATATACATGCAAAGCGAGGTAAAAGTGCTTTTTCTTCTCTTCTTCCATCTTTGAGAGCTCTTCAAAATGGTAGACTAAATGTAGCGTGAGAAAATGTGCTTTGCTTTTTACCATTTCTCACGTTCGATGTTTTAGCCATATTTGGCCATCAAATGCAGTATGATCGTTTTAATGAATGTCTTTATGAGTTAGCTAGCTTAAAATGGAATTATTCCTTGTACTCGCAAGCTATTTATCGCTGCGTAAATAACATCAAAAATTCTGTAAATCTGTGAATTTCACAAAAAGCTCAAACATCCAATTTGACTGGTTTTCTTAAGTGGTTTCATTTGCATTCAAACAATCTCAGATGGACACTTCAATATCAAACCTGCTACCCTACTCCAAAAAATGGCCATCAGGCCTTAAATCAAATTCTTCCATGGTGTAAAAGTCCAAGAATCGCCCCTGAAACGCCACTTTGTGTTTGATTGGAACGCGCTTTTATTTATAGGATAAAGCTATCATACAAGGTGTCCCAAAAGTAAGTAAACACTTTCCAATCGTCAATATCTCTCTTCCTAATGGGTCTTTTTTCTGCCAGTCAATCACCATTCTGTAGAGGAGGCTTCAGCTTAGATTTACAGTATCGATCGAATCAACGATCTCCCTTCGTTACTGTAGGATTACGGTAAGAATTTCCAGCATGTGGAACCATTGTGAAATATGTCATCCGACAAAATTTTTTTCAAAAAATTCGAAAAATTGTGAACTAGGGTTTTTGTGCACGCTGATTCCACTACATAACTTTTTGAAGTGTTTTCAGCTTTTTGATGGTGCAATCACATTTCTGACAAATACTGGGAATTTGGTTGTTACGGTTCACCTGGGATAATTTTAAAAAGAAGCATCACAGTAAAGTGGAAATTTTATAGTCGAAATCAGCAGCTTCCATTTCCACAGTGCAGGAGTTTTTGGCTAGTTTGGTTTTGTTCTGAAGCAGGATACGGCTTCCAATGGCCTAAAATCCTTGCCGAACGAAGACAGATCGGTTATTCGCTCGATACTGCGCTAAGTTGAAGCCTCCTCTACATAATGATGCTTAAATGGCGGAAAAAGACACAACAAAAGAGAGATATTAACGATTGATGAGAGTGTACTTACTTTTGGGACACCCTATAAAGTATATTTGGGAATCTGGCACAGTTCCGAATTCTAAAAGAGGAAACATGAGTTTTGAAGCAATTGCGTTAATGTATGGGGAAGTTCTCCTATGATTAAGGTCTAGATCTAGGAAAATATGTAATTGCAGTGAAGCGAAAATATCGGATGCTCATCTACTCCGTTGACACAAATCTTATTATCTTCTTTTTCAGAACTTATTTTATTATGTTCTTTTCAGAAAATTTTTTAGCCTGTTCACTTGGCGTTCTTGTTCTGTACACCAAGTAAGAAGGCGTATATATTCTTTAATCAACTGGCTTGGCGGGTGGAAGGCGGGGCTTCGCGATCTAATTTGGCTAGGGGATGGTCAGAGAGCACACTTGCGAGAGAAACACAGACTGCGTAGCGGGCGCAAGGGGTCTTAATTAGGTCACAAAGCCCCGCCTTCCGCCGCCATGCCAGTTAAATCAAAGGTTACAACTTTCGCTCATTTTGATTATGATCATCTCCAAAGTCTTTCTTTTTCCTTTTCAATCTTTTCTGCCTTTAGTTTTATTGAGGCCAAAAAAGCTGTGCTGCCAAAGACCAAAATTCCAAAGTAAAGAGGAAGTGCTGTAAAAGTAAGTTATGCTTGAGTAATTTTACTGAAAGGGAGAAAATTCGTCATGGTTGAGCAGGCAGTCTGAAAGGCAGCCCCGGCTTTTCTTGGAACAATTGACGCTCAGACATGCAACAAGTGCTATCTTTACAATGCAAATCTGGCTTAGAACTTTATCAACACCTTCTCGAATTTCACGCTTTCCCGCTCCCGCTCCTCCCCCTTCTCTTCCCCCTGCCCTGTTAATTTTATTCTTGCTAGTTCAAAAGAGAGATCCCGCTTTCAAAGCATTTCTTCCAAATCATCATTACATATTCTTATTTTTAGCTTATATACTGCAAAACGATTTAAAACGGCATAATTTGTTCAAAAATTTGTTCATTTTAACCTCCTCAAAGAACAACAACTGTTTCAACTGCAATAACTTGACTTGATTTCTTCCGGCAAGTTACATTATACCCCCGCACAGCTGTTGTGTTCTCACAATTGTCAGTTCTTTAAGCACTTTTCAAAACTTCTGTCAGGAGAAAGCATTCCATCGCTGAGTGAATAAAAAATTCTTTGTTGGACTTTGTGACAATAGCAAATTTTCTACATGACAAGCTCCACCTTCTCCTCCATTCTTCTCATCAGTCATTTATTCATGTCTTCCTGGATCTTCACGGCAAGTATAGCTAGCGTAGGTATCGTCGAGCCATTTGTAACTTAATATGCGAATTGCACACAAGACGCGCTATATGACGACTTGAATGCTAGAATTTGCTCATATCCAGTCACTTATCCTTATATCTTATTTCATTTTATTTGATTGAATATATACCAATAAGTAGTGCACATTTTCAGAGTTTATCACGCTATAAAAGGCACTACTGAGGAGTTACTAGTAAATGTGTCGCCACTTGCGGAGCATAATGTGCAGGTTCACACATTAAATTACAGATGACTTGAGCATAGTCTCATATGTTTTCTTGTCATTGGGAGGTTCATAAGCTCTCAAACGTACCAGTTTTTGCTTTCATAAAAATCGTCTTTTCTGTTATCGTTTTTTTTTTCACTTTTCGAGATTTCAAATGTTCATTAGTTTCTTGTACTCCACCATCGCTTGCGGTCGTAGAATTCTATTTTTGGCATTTTCAGAATTTCAAACGTTTCTGAAGCAAGAATCAACAAATTGCTGCAGAGATAAACAAGAGTGGGCGACCGCATCGGAAGGAGGTATGAGCACTTTTCGGATTGTCGAAGACAGTTTGTGTAAAGAGCATAAGAAAACTTCTACTTGTTGCTGTAAATAGATTTGCCCAACACAATACCGTTCTAACTATGAGAAACCAGATTTTTACTCAAATATTTTTTCAATGTGAAGTTTGAAAAAGGTGAATCTCGACCAGTCAATTCATATCTAAAGAAGTGTGGTTGCATACACTGCACACATTGCGCGTTCTCATCCTGGATTTCGCCGCGTTTTGCAAGTATATCCTAAAATCATCATTAGAATTCAGAACAAATTCAAACTCGTTCAGTGCCTAAAAAAGCATAAATCAAGGAGACGCTCAACCAAATATTGAGGAATTGCTTCTTCATGGCCGACTCTCAGCCAATCGCAAATGACTTTCGGGGTAAACTGAACTTCTAAAACTTTCGGGGAGACACTTCTATTGAACCTGCCAGGTAGGGCGGAGCCCACCCACAAAGCCCAATAGGAGCGTCCGCTCCGGAAGTTTCAGAAGTTTAGTTTTTTACCCGTAAGTCATTTGCGATTGTCTGAGCTCAAGATGAGACGCCTAGTGGGTGCCGCGTGTGCATTTGCACATATAAAGATGTAGCGACCAGTGACTCTTAATGTTTCGGTATATATAGTACTGTCAGATCATATGATAGAAGGTCAAAAACCTTTGATTCTCACCAGCACTTTGTTTAGCAGGCTGAGGATGCGCTTGCGCTTATGTTATAAAAATACTTTTCTCGCAAAATATGATTCTTATCACTATCATAATTACGCTAATACACCATATCAAGGTGTCAACTAAGCAGAAAGAATTAACTGCAGGCTACATGAGAAAGTCGGGTTTGCACTCAAAGTCCTGATAAGTTCAATCGAATTGCATTTTTTAGAGTAATATTTACGAATTGTATCGTTCTGAAATCCTTGCGAACGCCTAAAAAAGCGTGAATGATGCAGCTGCTGCAGTAAGCCATGATATCTCACTACATGTATAAATGCTGTATTTTTGTCTTTTCCAGGGTAACCGCATTCTTGGAATGTTAATATCATATCCACATATTTTAGGCTACTTCCACCTACGCAATGACATCGATCTACCTTACCGTACTGCCACTTTGCATCACTGTCTTTCGAATTACCGTACAGTCACAATGGACATCCGGGCAGTACCCGGATCTACGTGGTCCCACCGTAGGTCAATGTGCGGCTGTGTTACCCCGTAACAAGCAACATATGTACATTTGTGACCCGGATCGGATTTTGAACAATAGTCAGGGTAAGAAGGAGTTAGAATCGTTCAATCTGCTTTTTAACTAGAAAACTCGAACAATACTGGTAAAATCTCCTCAATTTCCACTAGACTGAAGCTCATCTTTTTGTGAACCCGGAAATAGCTCCCAGGACATATAAATTAATTTTTTTACGACTTAATCACCGCAGCTGCTCCATTCCAGCTTTTAACTGCCCTCAGAATAACTTCCCCGTCCACATAAACGAAAGTTTCTTTGCCCGCCAGAGGAGATAAATCAGGTTCAAAGCTCGGGTATGAGGTAAAATTACTTCGCGAGAGGAGGGAGGGGGGGGGGGGAGGAATAAATTTTGTTTTGACTTTGCGTGATTGATTGGTGTTATGAGCAGCGATCTTGAATAGAACGGCCCTGGAATGTTTGCGATTAGTTGAGATGGTGGAGAAAATAATAAACATCCTTGAAAATTCGCTTAACAATTTCATCCGGGAGGTTTCTAGCTCATGGTAAAATAAATCTACACAATTTCGACTTTAGAGCGCAAAAATAATTGTGATTTTTTGGATTTTTCAAAACTATTGTTCTTAGCCTTTTTTGTAGTATTTTTACCTTTCAGCAATGTCACTAAATCGACAGCTTCACGATTTAGCTATAGGAACGCCATGCCATTGTCAGCGTCGATCACAATGTACCACAGGAATGCCTGGTGAAAAAATATCGATTTTTTCCGAAAAAGGCACCTATCATTTTCTTCTAGGGACCGAAACGGAAGGATTTCATGGTTTTGTCGTGTCAATAGCCATTGTGCAAAACCTTCAGATGCAAATACATTCACCTAGTGAAGCGTAAGTGTCATCCCTCTGATTCAGATTTTTTTACCATTTTTGATCTTCAGAATCTTCAAAAATTTCAGATTTGTGTCATCACATTTTGTAGATGTTTATTTTGATGTTAGCACGTTTTTACCTTTGTTTTCAACCCAACTCATTGTAATTGTAGACTTTTAGGCAACTAACAGAAAGGGCAGAAGCGTTCTGTCGAGCACTCGAAGGTCGATGGGCACTTGGCGATTGTGGCAATTCTGTGATCGTGTTCGTCTGGGAACATTACAAAAAGGTAAAGAGGGTCTGATATTTTTCAGATGTAGTGTAATACGTTGCTTGGGAGAGGGTCATTGAAGGTGATACTGCGAGAATGGGTACGGTAGGGTTACGGTAATCTTGCGGCATTTGCGGCAAACGGTCAGTGATATTATGATTTTTCGTAGAGACCGTGCTTGGAATAAGGAAATTCACGTCTTTGTAATTACTAACTTCATGGAGATTACATCAAATCAAACAATTTTTTCATATAATTTCTTATCTTCATGAGAGGGCCGAGAACTTATCAAAAACCCTGTGAATAATCATTTAAAGATTAGCGAAGTGTAGATTGCTAATCACAAAATTCGGAAAAATTACTTTTGATGAAATAACTATCACGGCCAGAGATTTCGAGCTTTTGATTTGAAATAAAGCAACCAAAAATCACTCTCTCTACGACTAACAGTTTCATTATTTCGCACTATATTCATGTACGTGGAAAAAACGTTGTTATAACGAAAATATTCGTGATTTACAGATGATCATTTGGCCCGCACGATTGGCTGAAAAATATGTGACCGTCGAAGAGCGAAGGCAAATTCTACAAAAGGTAGGTTTGCAATTTTGATGATGATATCAGAACAAGGCAGTGTGGCTAATTATTATTCAAATTTCGATTTTAGATTAACGATCTAGTACAGACTGATCAATGGTATGCTGCGTTGTCACAAGTGATAGGTGAGTCTGTAATCCTTCACATAACATTAAGACCTCAAAAGACACGAGCCAAATATTCCTCTAATTACCACACAGGGAATGTTTGGTTTATTTTCTTTGAGTAATATGCTATCGCGGTATTTCTAGGTGAACTTCTTCGAGAACTGAATGGGGAAGAAAGCGGAAAAGTTGATACTGGAACATTGTCCTTGCTGGTGGCTGTTGGCCTAGCAGTTTTGCTGACAATGATGATAACATGTAGGTTTTTACTTGTATCTTTTCCGATCAGAAAATATAGAGAGATTCAACACTTCTTTACAAACAATTTCTTTTTCCGCTTATTATACAATGTCTCGAAATACGGTACCCATTCGAGAACAAAGAACACGTTTCCCAAGCGGACAGAATCTTTCAAGTGCGCTCATTATGAGTGGGCCACAAATTAGCTGTAATAGCGCGCAACGGAACAGGTGGTCCCAAGGCTGCTCTGGAATTTTGATGTTCGAACGCTAAAACCACGATAAATCTTATCGAGGAGCGATCTGTACTTTCAATTTGAAAACACCGAACATAAGTATTCAAAATACACAGCATAATGATGAAATCGAAGTTTTTTGCAATTTTTATCAACTCTTTTTTGCCTGAAGAAGTCTTTCGATGGGGATTACGGTAGACATACGGTCAAAAAAATCAGCAACCTAGCGAAGGGTTGAAAAAAATGTGCTAATCGCGTTACAAATGTTTTTAGTTGTTACCAGAATAGTTCACCTTCGATAAAAAAAGTAGGTTTTCAGGGTAAAATCATAAAAATGTTCTTATCAGCATTGAGTATAATCAACAAATAAATTATTATATCTCTTGAAATTTCTGCATATTTCATGGCTAAAAATGCATCTCTTTATGAAATCCAGGACAATTTTGTGGTTGTCTTTACAGTATGCCTACCGTATCATCTATGTGGTTGGTGCAGGTTTCGCTCATGTGATTGTAATCACGCAAGGTAGTAGCACTTTAAAATAAATAATTGGGGGGGGGGGGAGGGGTCAACAATTACATGACCCAAAAGCGTCCCGTATCTTCTAAGAAAGAAGAGGTGGCCAACTGATGGCTCATAAAAACACTTACCCTCCTTATTATCCCTGAACAGGGTAAAAATGACGTAATTTTTTCAAAATTTTCTTGCTCACGTAGATTTTTTGAAGATTTTCGTATTCAAAATTCTATTTTTCGTGTTTTCAGGTTGCGTATGTGCGTTCCGATGCTGTGGCAATTTACGTGGCGAGGATCGACCACGTCCGGTTCGTCGAGCTGTTGAACGAGTAGATAGCTTACGGGAAACCGTACTCAGAAGAGGATCACAGCTTCGAAGGTTCAAGAAAATCCTAGAATAGTCCTTCACTTTGTGATCAATCAGCAGTCATTTGAACTCTTACAAATGATATTTTCGGATAGAATTTTCGGAAGGAATCCAAAATTTTGGATAGAAAAAAAGCATTAAAGCAGGGAAATAGTGGATCTATCAGAAGGAGCACCCCCTTCTTTTTGCTTCTCCATAAAAATTTATGCGATTCAAACTTAATGTAAAAGCTGATGTCAAGAGATTGAAATATATATGTACGAGTAGAAGTAGAATAATTTTTTATTTATTTTCTATGGGGGGGGAGAGAGGTCAGGAAAGGGGAGGACATAATTTTTTCATCAACTTCCTCTGAAGGAATTACCTTTTGGTCTTCATAGACCAAGACTAGATTATGCATACGTATTTTTTGATTCGAAAAAATAATCGAGTTCAAACCCATTTTTGCCTTTACTTTTGCGTGACTAACGGAAAGAATATCCATACAAAGCGTAGAAAAATTTACAAAAGATTATAGCAACCTTTTTTGGTCCATATTTCGAGGAGCAGATCAGATTTTATTAGCAGCATGTTCCAGTTAATTTCTATGCAATTTTTGGCCCACAATCTTTCATAAAAGAAATCTTTTATGGTTTTTTCTTTTTCAGGGAGAATCCGGAGAAGCAACGCTTTATGTCGTAGCTGACCTTCAAGTCGATTCTGTCTGAATAAAACACAATCAAAGAATAGCTCAGAAAACTGGAAAATTCTAGAGGAGTAAATTTCCACCCACATTTTCGGCAAAAATCGTATCTCAAGGTGATCACACTGAATTGATTTTTCAAAGTTTTTAAAACATTATTTGTAAAGGTTCAAATGACAAATCTAAAGTCCTAGAACTCGTAGTTGAACGTTCCGAAGTTTTCTAAATTTTTTCAAAGTTTTTCTCTCGACTATTCCAGACATACATTCCAGATCCATCAGTCGCTCACCAAAGTTTCCGAACAACCCGAATCGATTTTTCTCCGCCGATACAACGATGGTATGAACGGATTCGATGAGATATATTGATCGATTTTCTAATGTATTCCGATTTACGATTTTTTACCTACGACATTACGAGTTTACTGTACATAGTTGTAAATTTTTCACATTGTCTTATTGTATTATCGCTTCTTCAGGGATTACAGGTTTTCTTTCTTTGAAATTCTAAGCTTTCTTTCTCGATTTATTGTAGATTTTTTTCGGATTTTGTTGGCAATTTGTGGAAAGATTTTGTGAAATTCGATGAAGTTTTTTAATTTTGAAAAATTGATCGAGCTACTTTGCTCCGAATGTTCCAATCGCTTGTTTGTCACTACAAGCACATTCATCAACTGAAGTGAACAGGTGCTCTTAGACGTAGAATTTACAACAAACTCTAGGATTTGAGGCTAATGAAACTGGAATGTACATGAATTCTGGAAGGAAAGGGGTTTTAGAAAAATTACCTGATATTCCTTTCAGAAGTGAATAACACCTTTCTATTCTTTTCAATGTGAATATTAACGTTGTTTGGAATGAAAGAAAAGCAGAATTAATTCATAACCATCCCAACTGATGATGCGGGAGTTCAAAACGAAAATAATTCAAAAGTGATGGTCCCGAATGAATATGGTCCAAATGGAGCCATTTGTCGGGAATTTCACGATTTGAATTTTGAACTGAACAATTTAAAGAAAGCGCTCCCTATAGTTAACGGTTTTCATTCCCCTATTTCAGCTCATTGTCAACCCGTAGCCTAGATCCGCTTTTTCCAAAAAAATATTCATTTTCGTGCAAAAATGGATTTTTTTGTATCAAAAGTTCTGTTTCTTCTTTTATACAAATTCGCCGCTTCTGTTGTTTTGAATTTGATCGATTTTGGTCGTTCTTCAGAATAAATCAGCTCCTTCTAGTTTAGTGCCTATGACAATTACAAAAAGCTAGCTCGATAAAAACTAGATTGAAATTTTGAAACTTTATTGAAATCGAGTAGTAAAAGTGTAGAAATGGCTATGACATCTACCAGCAAAAGCGTAAAGTAAACCTTGCTATTCGAAAGTCTTCAAAAAATTTTACGATTTCTGTATAATGCGATAAAAAAGTTTTTTGAATCCAAATTTGCTAGAAATTTCAATATATCATTTTTGTTTCCAGCCGCATATAGTATAGCATACAGCAAATAGTACTGAGGGTTTTATATCCAAAGGAATAGGTGGGGTCTAGAATTTCGTCGGTAAAAATCTGGTTGATGGCGCGGTTGATTGTTTTTTAAACCTCTGGGTTCATATGATTTACGAATTGAGTAAGTACTCAATATATTTTTTCAACCAACATTTTTGTGCTGGATGGTGCCCCCTACGCCTTTTACGATTGTTCAGCCATGCTTTTCTATCTATTAGGTAACACTTCAATAGGTGCAACCAATCACATTCTCTACACATTGAAAAAAGTTTCTGCGCAGACATAAATTCAATCATTTCATGATAGAAAGGAAAAATAAAGGCACGATCACCTCTAAAAGTCCATGCCCAAAAAAATAACCAAATTTTTTCTGCCATATTCACCGGAAGTAGACAGAAGTCACGAGGAATCTTTTCAGCTATCTCTTGCCATGTGTCTGTGGCAAATCACGATGTGTATGATATCAGATTACGACATCAGGAGCAATTTGCCATGCGGCATGTTTTGAAATGAGAGAATACGAGGAGAATTGCTCACCGCAGTCTCATGTGAGGGGGGGGGGTTGGCTGGAGGTGATGGGTTACCCAAAGCAAAGTTTTAGGAGAGTGGGCAAAGATGGTGCTTTTTTCAAACAAATGCCTTTGTAAGCCTTCCAAAGATAGGAATTTTGAATGAATTTCTTTTGATACCTTCGCCTGAACTATAAAGTGCTAATGATATGTTCATACTTGTGAATAATTGAGAATAATTTTTGAATTCTTTCAAGTCAAATTTTTCGTTGTCTTTTTTCAAAATTCACGGACTTGTGGGAGCGTAAAAGTTTTGGGAACATCCTAGAATTTTTTTTCGTAGTTTGTGGCTGGCATGTACCTTCGGTAAATTCCCCACCCCCTCCCCTCCCCGAACGGAATCCTGGGATCGCCACTGCCAGCTAACAACTTTCAACACTTTCAGCCTCGTCAGCAAAAAGTTGAACAGAATGTTATACAACACCGCTCTCAAAACGTGCAAAATTTCCCGGAGTTCCGCGACATTCCCCGAACTCAGCGACTTTTCCAAAAAACCGCGGTATTTGAGGAATAATCGCCATAAATTCCTTCGGAATGCATGAATTCTGGATTTGTTTGGAGGTTTATACTCTGCTCGTTGAGGCGAACTTCTGGTACATCTCTTACCATAATTTTCGGGGTACCTAGGTTTTGCTTCTGGGGCAGTGGAGGTGCGCGGTAGAATAATATTCCTGTCCTATGCTCATACCCAGCGGCGCTTCTTGTGATAAACAGGTACCTAATTGAAGCTGCTAAACAATCAAAAGGGAGTAATAACAACAACATCGACGGCACAGTACGGTATACGAACAATACCATTGATCAAACCCACCTCCTTAGACTTTTAGACAGATCACAAAAGAATTCACTTGCTGCCGTACACCCACCGTACTCTGAGAAAGACGGTAAGGCGATGTAACAAAAGATCCGTTTCAGAGCGCTGGTATAGCCCTTCTTTTGAACCCAAAATTCACGCATTTCGAAGGAAGTTATTGCGATATTTCAAAAATTCCGCGAAATTCCCGGAATGTCGCGGCATTCACGGGAATTTTGCACATTCTCAGAGCGATGTTGTATATGAATTGTAAACAAACGAGAAGGCTGATCTTCTACCGGTGCTCACAGATATCACCCAACGGATGGTACTGATGAGCAGATGATGCTTTTGATGAACTGCGCAATATCTCTCTCGTTCGGACTTTCGCTTTAAAAATTAGGACGATATGACGCCAATGTCATTCCATGCATTTTCTGTCGTGTTTGCAAAAATGTGATAATTGTAGCGTCAAGATGAGATCGACCTCCTTGCCCTCACAACCAGGTCTCGTCACAGGTGGCTTACGGGCAAGCTGGATAATGTTTTGGAGTAAAAGAACAAGGGATAATCGTTTCTGCGACCCCCTCCCTCCCTCCCCCGCCCTACACAATCGACTTGTCCCTTTATGTCACCTTCCATCTTCTATAGAGGACGCAAATTGTCGTTCCTGCCTTATCGATCCCATTCCTGCAAAAACCAAAAATTTCCTGTCTGAACAGGTTTGCCGGTTAAGCGCGCGAATTCAACCCTGCCCCGATATAAACAAAAGACTTGCTTACAGCGAAGAGAAAATGAAATGACACCGAAATTGGTGTATAGATGGGCAACAAGGAGTTGATATTGTGTACGAAAATTATGGAAAAATTTTGTCAACTGAAGGCCTGGCAAGCTTTTTTCGGAGTTAAGTGGCTTTCTAGCAATCTGGACAGCCACCTGGCCTTCTTTCATATAACTTTCTCATATGTTCAACACAACTTTGTTCTACATCAAAAACCCTACAGCTGAGTTTTTGGATCTTTCTAAACCCCCTTTTCCTCCCCTAGTTATAGCCGTCCAAATATTTTGTATGGCGACGGCAAGCCCGCTCCAAGCGCGCAAGGGTGCGCGCCGGACGCAGCAAGCCACCAATTCGCAAAACATGGACATCTTCTGTTCTTTTTCGTATGTTCAATGTTGTTTCCATGTGTTGTTTCAATAATTTTCGTTATTCGTTTTGATCCATTCATGATCGCGTCATAGGTGATGTCGTATTTTTGGGCCAAAGTCTACGGGGACTTCGTTTTTGAAAAATTGAAAAGGCCACCTCTATTGAGCCCTGTTCACGACCTTTTTTCAGCACAAAAATAACAATGCACTTGTGGCAGAACATGTGATTGCTATAGTACCACCTACATAAACCACGCTCATAATTTTTTTCCAAACTTCCCAATAATGATCACATCGTCAGGGTCACTAACCAAAAAATGAAGATAGGATTGCGATATTAAAAGTCTGTAAAAGATGATATCTTCTAGAAACAGAAACACTATTGATCTGTGCATGGATTGACTAGATGTTTTTGAGTATGCACTAAACACGAATAATGTGATTAATTAGAAGCATACCCTTGGTCAACTGGCTTGGCGGTTGGAAGGCGGGGTTCGCGATCTAGTTAAGAGTGGGTATTGATCGGAGAGCACGGGCACGGGAGAGACGCAGACTGCGCCACGGGCGCAAGACTCCTTAATTAGGTCACAAAGCTCCGCCTTCCAGCCGCCAAGGCAGTCGAATCAAGGGTTACATTATGTGTTTTTCTATTATTGTTAGATTAAGACCAAGAGAAAATTCATAAGTGCTGTCTTTGAAGACTTACTTGCAAGATATGTTCAATCTACTAATGAACAATTCTTTATTCACTATTTCGGATAGAGGATGTCTGACACCCCTTTTCTTAAAAATGACGCAAATGCAACTATGTCCCTCCATATTCCTCAGAAAAATGCGCTTTTTCGCTAAAGGTTTGAAAATGATTCATCTGGCCGCTGAAAATAAGTAGACTTAAGTCGGATCTGCCAACTTTCTCAGTCGAAGAGAACTGATTTCCAAGAAACAAGAATCTATTTCGGAGGTACACTGTCTCCAAGGCCATCCCAGATTCTGAAATTTCGTATATGAAAAATACGGTCAAGTGAACTTGAAAGAAAATTATGTCCTTTCCATGCTCAAAAACAATTCGTTGCCATGGAGCGGAGCTAAGAGCTGGTAAATTAAAACTTAACTATTTTAAATTAGGCAGCGAGTTCTGGAAAGGAACAATAACTGATTTCTCTTTTTATTCCGGTTTTACGATCCAAAAACCCACAATTCCTTCGTAGGGAAAATTTATGCCCCCCCCCCAAATTTCCCTAGGACAGGTAGTATCCGTCAAATCGTAGTTTATTTTTATGACTTGTATGTGTTTTCGGTTTTAGTTTGATATTTGATTTCAATCCAAGTAAATTATTGAGGCAGGAAATGTTTTACATGAGATGAAATACTGAAAATTTTTCTTGATTTATGTTTAGTGGACATTTTTGAGGAGGTTTCCATGAATTTTTGCTCAGAAATGTACTTTAACCGAGTGTTTTCTGTGCGTTCAATGAAATAGCGAAGCCCGAACATCGCGACACAAACAAAATTTGAAAAGCATGAAAAACACCCGACGCCGTCACTACGGGGAAAACAGCACATTCAGCTGTCGGTTGCGCAATCGATCGACACCCGTGCTCGTCCACTACACGCCAGCCGGGGGAACCCGTCTGACGCTAACCTTCATCAGCTTTATTTTCTTGGGAAATTTGGCTTTGTCAGATTTTTACAATTCTTCAAAGGAAGTTTTGCTCGACATTAATATTCCTAGTTGTAGTACTGCGTGTTTTTTTCTCATAGCCACGATGTCAAAATTTTCTGAAATGGAATTCCCCGATTTTAGCCTATTTTTTCTTATTTGTTTTAAAATTTCTAAAAATTGCTTCTATCCGCCAATAAGATTCTACTGTTTCATTTTATTATTCGCCAATATGATTTTACTGTTCCATTTCACTTTGCAAGAAAGTCATAGCAGCTTCGTATTCCAAAAGTTCGATTTTATGCAACCATTGCTATTTATCTTGCTACTTACTATTTTGAATTTGAAAATGCAACGGACCGAAAAGGTCGATGATGTTCTATTGTGCTAACTTGAATTCTTTGAAATGACTTGCAAAAATTTGAATTGGATTTGTCAAAATAAAGTACGGTATGATGTGGCTTGAATAAGAACCCGAAATCACGTCAGCATAACTCATATACACGCTCTTTGCGATATCATTCATATTATCTTGCCTATCCATTTATGTACGCAAACACCTTTCTTGTATGAGACTTTTTGAATCATATTCATATTTGAGAAAGCAGAAGAAAACTATATTCTATCTACAAAAATATTCTAATAAAAATTGTTTATTGGCAGTCAAGCGCTCACAACCTTATCCGCGTTTTCGAAATCCGTATTCAGCCATTTGCTAACATTGCATATTTATTCATTTGGAATTTGCTGGGTAATCTCTACCATCGTAGGTTTGCATTATTAGTAGTTGGCACGTAAGTTTTGCCTCTAATTTCGTAATTTTTCTCTTTCTGACTGTGACGCATCCATTATTGGGCATAATTCAGAAGTAGATGGTAGTGTACAAATGTTGGAGATGTTTTGATTTCTGGTAATGGAGGAAACTTATGCATTTTCTCGAAAGCTGGTCAGATTTAAAATTTCAAGGGTCCAAGAACTAAAAGTGAAGCCTTCTCGATCTGAATCAAACACATCAACTTGAAACTATATCCAAACTACTGATAGAGGAATTTCTATTGATCTGCACACTTTCGGCTTCATACCCTTGATTCAGACTGAGAACGTCTTCACTTTTGGTATTTGGACCCTTGAAATTTCGAATTGGACCAGCTTTCGGAGAATGCGTAAATCTTCTCTATTTAGTTATCAAAAATCAAACTATCTGCGCATATTTGTAGCCTACTATCTAGTCTACATCATGCTCAAAAATGAATGCGTCACACTCAAAAAGAAAAAAGTTACAAATAGTTGCAAAAGTTTTTCGCCAACCTATTATTTTGCTACAGCACACGTCAGATCTAATGTGCTGTAGAAGGATAGCAAAGGAATTACGTTCTTGAGTTGAGTATGAAAAAGTTGAAAGCTAAATCCCATTTCGAACCTAATCACTGCAATTTTGAATTCACTCTTCTTGCCAAAGACTGGAGTAGGTATCATAGTGATTGGTCAGTCGAAAATCTTTCTTGGGTATTGTGGAGATTGTAGTGACATCTCTGTATAAATAGTGAGTAGTGATGTGAGGTGAGAGGTTCGTGATGTCTGTTTCGCCTCTACCCCTATGCAGGTTGCTCATATTGTCAACCACTCCCGAGGTTCGTCAGTAGGGAAGATCATCGTCTAGCCTAATTAGGTCACGAAGCCCCGCCCTCCACCCGCCAAGCTAGTTGAATCTTGTACTATTGCTGTTCCTGAGAAAGATTTTGGGAATTTTGTTTATAGTCGAATAAGTCGAATTTCGAGTTTCATACGTCGATTACCAAATCCGATGAAGTTCTTGCTGCACATCTCCTGATAACTCTAGCGTAAATGAACGTAATCATCGTGCAAATTTCATAAGAGTCATCCAAACAAACTTTTGTTTGGAAGTTTGAAGAAATGCACCTGCATGATCGTATTGTTGGCTGTTGCAAGAAAATTGATTGTAACTTGCAAGAGTTGCACTTCTACAATCATCAGTTGTGAATTTGCTCCGATACAAGCACTTTGCCTTTGTCATTTCGTCAGTATTATATCATGCTTATACTCCATCTTCGAATCTATATTCTGTTACTTCTATTGCTTTTTTCAGAAAATTGAAAATGTTCGACAAACTTACTGGTAACGGAAATGGAAATAAAATGAATATGCGGGTACATGTATTAGAAGGTATATTATCGTCAATCGAAACCGATGGAAGCTCAGCAAGGGTCAGTTCAATAATATATTCCTTTTTCCTGGAGATATGCTCTTGAGAAGGAAAAACTATTGAAAGTCACGATATTTAAACAGGAGGATGAAGTGAAATATGAAAGGTTTTTCTAGCCACCGTTATCTTTGAAAAAAGTTGTAAGTGGTTTGTATGAGGTAAATCATGCAAGTAATCTTATTTGTGCCTTTTAATAGTATGGGTTTCACAAGTTTCATGAAATTCAAATCAGCTTCGTTAACGCTAAAAGTTCCAGAATATCAAGAAACTATAGCTTTTTCTGCTAACAATACGTTCCCTGAACATAAAAGTTGTCAACGCAAAAGTCCCCCTTCCACCTCCCTCTCCCGTTCCCCCGAAGTTCTGCCACAGTCATTATATAATTGAAATTCAAAAACCTTGTAGTCGCAATGTTTAAAACTTTTATAGTAATCAAAATCAGCTCCATAGCTAAAGGTGTTGTTAACAACAAATCCCTTATGATTTCAAAAAAAAAAATCGTTCTTTCTTTTTTTTTCTCCAAAAAACTCTCAATGCTGGCACGTAAGGCCTAAGGCATACCTCACGCGATTTGGCCAAATCGTCACTTTTACGCGACTTGGCGATTTGCCAGAATTCTAGAAATTTATCGTGCGCGCTTCTCGAACGCATGGGCGGGTAACTTGTGTAAGTTGTTGCAAATGGGTTAAGTTCTGACCAAAGGGAACGCATTAACGACGAATTACAGAGAATCGCTGTTGTGCCAAATCGCGCAGCGACAGGAATCGCGCGAGGTATGCCTTAGGCCTAACATATGTTTTATATCACATCTTGGCCACAAGGATTTTCTCAAAATGAAAACAGCTCTCAATGTGACACCAGGGTCTTCATTCTAACAACCCATATGCATTTTCAGGTCAATTCCCTAAGGCAAGTAATCAGACGAAATAAAGCTGATATGGCCGATGATGCAGGAAAATCATTGGATCTTATGCGAAGGGTCAGTCTTCGGTTCATCTACAGTAATCCTTGACTTACCTTATTATTTTAATCATTCTCCCGTTTTCTTCTTCTCTTTTTGATCAAAAACTCTACTTCAGATATTTCAAAATGAAATTACCAAAGAGCTACAACAAATTATGGATCGTCATATTCGTACTACTTTCTCACCCGCTATAGAAAATTTGAAGAAAAATGGACATGTGAGTAACTTAGCACCGAATAAGTATTTGAAAGTTTAAGTGATCTTAGCTGTTTTTAATTTTTTTTTCAGTTTTTAAGTTTATCATCTCGAAATTTTTTAGGTGGTTGATCAAGATGTCATTAATGATCTATACACAAGTATTTTGGATGCGGCTAAAGCTCCATTTATGCGCGAACGGGCATCAACTATGAACCGTGATCGCTTGAATTCGGAACGGAGCAAAGTAAGTTGTAGTCCAAACGAGATACAAAAGCTTTTGGAAGAATATTTTTCCGAATCTTTTTGCATTCATTGACTATCATCTCTATGGCCTTTTCATTCCAAAAGCAAAACTCTGCCATTTTTATGCAAAAATTTGAAAAAAAATTTTGCTCTTCTGTGCTTCATGTCCACCTTTGTATGAAAGAAAACGAACAAATTACTGTTAAATGTAAAATCCTCAAACAAAATCAAGGGAAAAAATGCTTTTTCCTTAATATTTCCAGCACAAATGAACAAAAGCGGGGTTCCCAACCCATTTCCATTTGGAACTTTTCATGTGTAGTATGGGGGTAGTCAAGCAAAATAGAGCTGTGAATCTAATAATTTCCCGCTTCAACTCGGATTCGTATTCACTGCCACATGGTTTGTGTGGTTCAGCATGCAACGTCTGGGGCAAAAGCTTAGTTTTACCGTATTCGACTACCTGGGCTAGGGAAATCTGTCTGGGAAAGCGCAGAGGCAGACATTTCCCCCAATCCCTTCAATTTGAATCTAGAAGATTTGAAGTTTGCAACTCTTCTGAACTCCGTCCCCTCGTCCCGACCCTCCCTCCTCGTTCAGGACCCCACCCACTTATCCAGATTTTCCAGCGAATGCGGACATAATGAGCTATGAGGAATGTTATTTGTGCCTTTTTAATGCGCTAAAAAGTTCAGATATAGGTTCACCATGGCGAGAAGGCTACGAAAAGGTGAAAAACTAGAGAGCAAAGCATCATGCATCCCAAATTTTGCCTATAACGTTTTTGTCATTCTGGGGCCTTTCTGCGGCGTGATTCCAGTCACGAAGTTCAAAATATGCTCCAAAAACCCGATTTCTGGAAGCTTCTCAATGCACCGGTGACTTTCAGCACCTGGGCGAGCGGAGCGAGGGCGGTTGCTTGATAGCACTTTCGAGGTTTTAGGTCCTTTCTCTTCACTCGGAGACCCCATTGGAGGGGACCACGCAGATGCCCCTCTTCTGTGACCTATCAGGCTAAATACTAATCGGGGGCTTGAGACTATATGTCGGTAGGATTATCTGCAATTAATACTGTCGGTATATGTCTTATGATCAAGTTTCATAGCCTTCATGTTGTGTGTAGAGTGATCGAATATCGAATAGTGAATCTTAGGCCTTTATGCGGTTGAACATATTACCTTCAAGATCTTCTCCAGTCTCACGCACACGTACACCCAATACGGCATCTAATGTGAATCTAATGTTCATTTGGTACAGTTTTTTCGGTGATAAAACCAGTGGTTTTAGCGAGGATACGAGTCGGATGAGTCGGATGTGAGCATATTGAGTCAATCCAGCGAAATCAAAAGACGGCGAGGGCGACCAAGAAAGGTGATTTTCGTAAATCTTTCTCTTTGTGTAGTCTTCATGGCAATCCCTCTGTAAGGTAGCAGTGAAGTTGCCCATGCCAGCGTGGTGCCAGAGCCGTGCCAGAGCTCGCGTGGACGCGCTATGTATTGATTAATCGACGTTACGCACGGCTCTGGAGCGGCAAAAGGACTGCACTGGCACAGCGCTGGAACGACGATGGCAGTAGCTAGCGCACGTTGGCCCGTTGCTGGCAGGGCAACTCCCCTCTTTGTTTCAGAGGGAGAAAATTGCTATCACTGCTTGGATTCTTGTGACAAACTTTTCCTTGCCAATTTTCTAATTTTTGTTCAATTCTAGGATGAAGAACCCTCGCTGGACCTATCACCCTTTACCCTGCACGAGGTTCTAAAATGGTCACCGGAACGGCATCTTCTGACTACACGCTATATACCAGCTGCTAAAGTCGCCGCTCTGCTTTCTATACCTGTTACTGTATTTTTCAGCAAATATCCCAGGATGTTCCGGGTAAGTTTTCAGTAAATTTCAAGAGTTTGCTCCTTAACTTTTAAAAGATTCAAGCCAAAGTTGCCCGTGCTAGGGCGTTCCAGCGCCGTGCTGCCGTGCAGGAGCTGTGCCGGCGGAGGTCAACCGATCGATATGTCGCATCCACATGTCCCCCCGGCACGGCCCTAGCTTGGCGTTGGAACGGGAATGGCACAGCGCTGGAGCTGTGCCGGCACACGGGCAAGACGCACTTATCAACCTGAACAGCGACTTCAATGATTTCTTTTACTCAGTGAGAAATTTCCAGTATTCCTGCGATGAAGAAGACCGTGCACAACTTATGGAAGAAAAGAAATTATCTCGAGGAGTTGGTCGATGTTATCTAATGGTTATGGATGATGTAACAGAGCTTCTAGGGAGATCGTAAGTCTTTAGCCTTTATGTAAGGTTGGTACAAGCTTAGCGGTCCTATCATCTAGCAGTAGTCTTAGAGGCACCGTCCATCCTAAGTTAAGGGTCTTGGGCTTTTGGCAGCATATGATATTAGGGCCTCCTATCAAGCCAATGCCCAAGTCGCGGCGCAAAATGTCGCTTCGAAAGCGAGAAAATCGCCCCGGGATAACGAAGATTGGAGGACCCCAAGACGGCACCGCCCTCCTCATCCATGCCCGCCCATCCGTGCGCGCCAGCCAATCACCGTTCCGGAGAGCCGGCCTGCGGGACCGCGGGAAGAGAATTGTTGGGGTTTTCGCAGATTCACTTTATATTCGGAATCAGGGACAATGAGAAGGCTCCGGAACGATCAAAGCATGAAGTCTAGAATTTGGGTGGACGGTGCCTTTAACGCTTTGACTATAGTAACACTCCGGTGATCTGCATGATAAGGTTTTTTGCGGGGCTGCACTAAAGGGAGTCAGAACTACAGGTTTGCCTGAGAGTTGATCCAATAGGGCTATTCGAAGTGCTGAACTTACTCGGTAGATCGTTTTTTATGAGATTACGGTGGGTACGGTATAGGATATTATCTATGATTCTGCGGTGACGCCAACTTTGCAATATCAGTGTGACGATCATTTTATGTCCTCAATTGTAAAGCAAATTAGTCGTAGAGTTTGGTGTCTCTCAGAAAATCTCCCCCCCCCCCCCTCCCGTTCAATTCACTGCTTCGCTGTTTTCTAAGGCCTTTTGCAGTTTCAAATTGTTAGCCCCATATAATCGTGCGTCCATTATCGGCCAAGCGATTTCACGTAACAACGCACAACGCGTCCGGCAACCTCGCACCTCGCTGTTTTCAATGTTGAGACAAGGAAATCTAACCGAAAAACGGCATCTTGAATCGATACCTGCTAAATTATAGGACGGAAAATGGCCCAGGGGTGAACTTTGGCCTTTTTGGGACCTTTGGCTAGAAGTCCCTTTTAGAATTCTGCATTTGTGAAACCGAAGATGAAATTAGATCAAGGAAAAAGACCTTGTCTACTGTGTTATTTCAGGCCCGATCTCGAATTTTCGTCTTTCCTTCTCAACGAGCACATCCTACTCAAAATGCGTTCTAGAACTGTACCGGTATTTGAACGACTAAAAGCTCGACTACCACCTTCAGCATTTACGTTTAGTCAATAATTGTCTCTATGTACAAGTAAAATAGTATATCTGGTAATTTATGGCATACTGTGAACCCCGTGATTCGTTCAGCTTTATTGACATATGAAAAAATTGAAAAAAATGTGACATCTGATTCCGCTGTACCTCCAGAATGAATATCCCACATTTATGTGTACATTGTATACTATTGTTTTGAACTTCGCATTTTTCACCTTTCTATTTTTTTCATGGATGAGTAAGTAAGTAAATAAATGTTTACATATCAGTATTGTGTTTCTTTATACACACTTCTGTCTGCGATGAAGTGGCATTCAAAGAGTGCCACACAGAAAGAAAGAAGATTTCTACGGGCAGTCTCTTACTCCTGAAGAAGTTATATCAGATGGTGCCAAAAATGCCCGCTTTTCGGAAAAGGAGTTTCTGTCCTGCTGTCTTCCAGAAAAATAAACTTCCTCCTGAAATTCCTTCCTCTTAAAAAACCACACGACCGCCGGCTTGCTGAAATTCGCCATATCCCGCTCCAGTTTGAACTAATTCTGTATCCAGTAATGATAAGAAGAAATGTTTTCAATTCACAATGTGTAAATAACCAAAAGGCTCCGTTTCTTTCTGCCCTTAGACAGTGGAAGTATTTACTGACCTTCCGCGGAACTCCTCAGTAAGTACAAGGTCCGTAACACTTATTTTTAATACTGAGAAATAAGTTTGTGTAGGAGTAAAAAGAAAGTAAGATTCCAGGGAATTGACGATGTAAGAAGACAAATTTTTGGATATACTAGATGTGTCCTATATGACACTACTCGACAAGATGCATCTTTTTTATATAGAGTCCGATTACGGTAGGTGTGAGGCGTTTGGAAGTATGGAACATGCATGAGTTATCACAAAGATCTGAAATTTTATCCCCATCTAAGAGTTTCTACATAAGCTCTATTGAATTCTTCTGCTCTCTACGCCATCGATCACGCACCACTCACATCAGTCCTTGATTCAGTCATGTCTTTCAACTTGAGGTTGAAATAAAGTGGTGATAACAAAACTTCCAGATATATGGCTTCATCAAAAAGAAATAGCTAGGCATGAATACTAAAAATTTTTTTACCGAAAGTGTGTTGCTCCGACATTTCTACCGGAAATGGCGTAGCACGCCTTCGGAGTGAATGTCAAAATGACGCCATTCGTAGCAGTGATCATCAAAAATCTACTTTTGATTGAGAACTTCCGTCATAATGGTTGCACAAGTGATATATGCGCTAGCAGTCGGATTTCTATCCACACGCTCCATCCTTGAAGGTGAGATCTATTTTAGTGAATTTTACTTGAAAAAAAATAAAGATTAACTCTCGTTTTCGTATGTATTCATGGAATGGGGAGAAATCTGTGGATTTTGTAGTCGCTGTGATTCAATTATTAAGCTACGCTGAGCAAATTTTTTGTTTTGGAGTTCGGCACAGAGAAAAAACGACAGTTTGCGCAGCCACTGCATTCTTGTATAGAAAATTCTTGTTGTAAAAATTGCAACTCTACAAAAGTTGACAATCCCCTTTTCGAAAATTCCAGAAATTGGTAAAGGTGTTAATAAAGCCTCTGCATCATTGCTACTGCCGAAAGAGAGAGGGCTAATGCTTGCGTATCGCTCTGTCCCCGTCTCTAATAGTCTTCCGGTAATTTACCAAGACATATTCATACATTTGCTACGAACATTATCCAAGAGATGCCGACGAATCCAGGTGAGAGCTTTAACCGACCTACTTATTAGATATACAAGCTTTTTTCTCATTTATCTCTTCGAGAGTATCCTCAGGAGCGAGGACCTGATCGAGATTGTCAAGTGTTACTGGCTCCTGAGCAATCTCCCTGTTTCATTTTTGAAAAATTTGCTGCAACTTAGTCCTCCGTCGTTTAAATTGGGTCAAAAAAGCCAATTTCTCATAGACCTTCATCTTTTGCTTGAACTCGTGCTTCACCGATGACCCTACCATAGGCTTATTATGTGTTTGTAAGGTGGCCATTGTACACTACCACTCAGCCAATGCCTGATTACAAGTCCTCTTTTTGGTAAGAGTTAGGGTAGAGCAAGAGTCGGGCCCATCGATTATCACATTTACTAGTATGCATTACATGGTCGTGTATGTTTATTAGGAAGAAAAGTTGAAGAGTTGAAATAGAGTTTGGGTGAGCGTACCGCTCCGCAGCTTGCGTTGGGGTCTTCTCTCTACAGTTCTCAAATGTTCCTGTTTTATCTCATCGCCATCCGTTATCAGATTGTTCTCAACTATACTGATTGAAGCACTCTGTCAACATCTGCATATGCCAGCGTAGGATATCGTTCTCTGTTATCTTAGTCTTCTCCCATTGCCAAATCTTTTAAAGCATTTTTCAATTGCTTTCGTGCCATAGAGGTTTAGTGTTTCTTTATTCTTTCCGAACACAACCTAAAGTTTTGACGCCTTTCTTTTCTCAAAGACCTAAATGGCTTGGATACATAATGAAAAGAAACCATCAAGCACTTTCTTCAATCCTGCTAGTTTTTGACGTTCACGAATTCCCACCGTCTGTTTTGCCAGAAGATGAACATACCGTTATGAACAGCACTACGCAGGATTCCCCAATCACTGGAGGGGATGGTATTGGCCGATGGATTGACTGGGGAAGAACTGCGTACACGAACTGTCAGTTATAGGAGACCAAATATACAGGTTGTCCCCAAAAAAATGCTTCGAATGTTTGATCGTTAATATCTCTTTTCCCAAGAAGTTTTTGCCTTGCTTCAGGTGGCGTTTTGTAGAGCTGGCTTCAACTTAGATTTGCATTATAAAACGAATCACCCATCTCTCTTCATTACTGTAGGATTACGTAGAAACTTGAAACATATGGTCTCAATATGGAAAAAACTGCCTTTTCAAAAATTTTCAGAATAATGTGAAAACATGTGTAATAGGGTTTTTATGGACGAGTTCAATGCTAAACTATTCACAAGATTACGAAGCTTTCTAAACGGTTTAATCGCACTTTTTTAGAACATTGAAAAAATGGCCGCTACCTCTTACCTGGCATAACTCTTCAATGAAGCATCATAACAAGTTGGGAACTTTACAGTTGTAATCAGCAACTCTAATTAGCCTAGTGTAAAAGTTTTCAGGCTGTTTTGTTTCTTTTTTCAGGCAAAATATGACCTTTCATGGCTCAAAACCCTCTTTGAAGTTTCTACCGTAATCCTACAGTAATGAAGAGAGATGGGTGATTCGTTTTATAATGCAAATCTAAGTTGAAGCCAGCTCTACAAAACGGTACCTGAAGCAAGGCAAAAGACTTCTTGGCAAGAGAGATATTAACGATCAAACGTTCGAAACATTTTTTTGGGACACTCTGTATTATTGCTGTTTCTTAGGGAATGGCCTGCTTGAAACTTCATAAAAGAGAGCCGCAGTCTAGAAGTACTGAAATTCTGGAGTGGCAGTAATTTGATCGAAACCATTATGATAATTGAGTTTTCATGACGGCAGCTTCACATCATCTATTCAACGAAACCACGAGGTAGCCAATCGGAAATCGAAATGGACTATCTTGCAAAGCAAACTCATTGGAGGAACTCTAATCATTATTACTCTTGTCCGCAGTCATTGCATTTTACCAAATTTGTTATTCGGTGTGCAGCTTTTCATCTTTCCCCAATGGCTATTGCTTACTGAGCAGCCACACACTGAAATTGTCACTAGTAGACTATCGAATGAACTTCTTGCCGATAGCTGAGATCTTCTCATTTGGTCAAGCTTAATTCAGCTATATATCGTCAGGAGCTAGTGGTACGTTATCAAATTTAGCATACGTTGTTGGGAAGTATTGCTGGGAACATACTGCAGATGCGAGCATAAACTTCTAATCTCGAATGTGCTTGATCATTGCTTTCCAAGTTGGTTTGTTCTGAAAAGTTATGCGTTAAGTCACTTTTGAAACTGAGTGACCATTAGAAGATGGTTATGTTTACACGATCTGAGGCCGTATTCATCATTGCTACCCGAGGTAAAATGATCCTTGAGGTAAAATGTACCCCAAGGTACAATCTACCTTAAGGCTGTTTCGTATTCATCAAAGTACCTCAAGGTTAATTCTACCTCATCTTGCACGATGTGAGGTGATGCTCATTCGAGGCATGCCATAACTCTCAGTGGTGTGCAAAAACTTCCTTGTTGTAAATCTCTCTTCTCTACTTTCGTTCTGTGGGTATACTTTAGGACCGTTCGCACGTAATGCTTGCTTTGCGTATGTTGCGCCGCTTGAGGAGCGGACGAGAAAAACAAAGAAAACTAATAGGTAATCACACCCTGACAATCTTGAAAAAGACACCAATGTTTTCTTTAGTAAATTATCCTAAAGATCATCTTTGACGCCATAATCTGTGTTCTTCTAACAATAAGTTATCTGTAAGAATGAGATCTGTCTCCGAAGAAGCGCTTGTAATTGGAATTATCCGAAATGTTTCAATCTCAAGCGCCAGCCGCCAGCTGCCTCAATGATAATAAACGGAAAGCGGAGCCCAGCATGAGGGTGGCAAATGGGCATTCTTGAAACGAGGTAGCCTTTGCCACTTTTTACGATTTTCCCCTTGAAAAAAATTCGAAAAATAATGGAATTACTTGCAAGCGCAAACAACTCACTTGCAAATTCCCACAACTCATGTAAGCTTCAAAATTTTCAGACTATCCCCTCCCCTCCACTGGGCCACTGGTCTATTGCACGGTATCAAAATCACAAAGTAGACGACTGTACTGCTCCAGGGGTTAAGGGAATGTCAGTTTCATGCAGTTGAAATTTTCGAAACGGAAAATGGGAATTTGTTGAGGGGTTTTTTCCAGTTTTCCGATCACACATGTGATACCAGCAGCTCTCCAATCCCGTAATCCCTGCTGGAAGTTTAATCAGAACAGTATTCCAGATTCTTAGATGGTGTTCTGACGTGGTACAGCTGTATGTCAGCTAAAAGAGAAGTATGAATAAGAGTAAGAAAATATTTGGAGAAACAGAGGGAATTGTTACAAACTGAGTGCGAAGCTACGTGGACGCCATGAACTTTCTACTTTAGCGAAAACAAAATTCTGAGGATTATCTACCAAAATCAGCTATACCAAATTCAAATCTACGAATGTCGTAATGGCACAAACGTGCCAGCTCAGACGCTGGAAGCGGACGAGCTGTGGCCCTTAACTATTACTGCGATTTACAAATTGTGGGCAGACAGGGGAAGGAAA